TATTTTAAAAAAAATCATTAATTATGAAGAACACTCATGCAAGTAGCTATTGCACTATCCGTAATGAGATAGTTATGTTTTATCACATATGATGCAACGATCAGTTTGTATAAGTGCCCATATACACTTAACAATTCCTCTTAAACCTATATTTATAAGAATTGTAAAAATATTACAAATGTTATTGAACAAAAAATGTCTGATAGTTAAAAAATTAAAGGTTTTTATTGATGAAATTGTCCTGTCCAAAAAATCAAAAACTCCAAACTTCTCGGATATAGAAATCCAAAAAATCTCAACTTTTCTTTGATATTTATTTTTGAAAAACTAAAAACTTCTCAAAAATGGAAGTTCGATAAGTTTTGAAAAATTTCAAAAATAAATATTCGAGAGACTTTGAAGCTTCTTAAAAATGGATATCTAAAATTTTTTTAAACTTTTTAATATACATTTTTGAGAAATTTAATATCGAGAAGTGAAAAGAGAGAGAGAGAAAAAAAAAGAGTAAGAATGAAAAAATTAAAGTGAGAGATAAGATGTATTTAGTAGATAAAGAAAAATAAAATTTGAATTTAAAATGTATATAGTATTAGATGGGCTGCATTTAAAATTCCCCTTCACTTAATTGTAAAATGAGTTATAAAAGCCCTTGGCATTGCTTTAATTTTCAGTATTACCCTCTATTCGCATTTCTTTAAGATCATTACTTATTAATTATGTGAGGACAAATGTTTCACAATTCAATCAACAAGACACGGTTTTTTTAGAAAAATAATTATATTCTGTCGTTTTCTTTCAAATAAATAGACTCTTGAATTAGAAACACATCATCTATCGCCGACCAAGACCAACTCTTGGATCGCTCAATGCTGAAAGTAACAAAACACTAGTGGCACGAATGTAATAAGTAACAATTTTTACGAACATCTAATTATTTATTTTGTTTGACTAGTCAAATTCTTCGATGCTTTAACAGTTTTTAATTTTTTTTTTTCAATAAATATGCTACTTTGTTTTCAACAACAGAAGGTTTTATTTTAAGAGTGCGGGTGATGGAATGCAGGGCAGCAAAAGCTTTAGGTCGCTCCTAAAAATATAAATAATATATTAATACTCATAAATTATTTGAATATAATTTAAATTTAATTTAATTATTATCAAATCGAATTTTAGTTCAAACAGTATGATTTATTGATCGAATCAAATTCGAATATTTTTATATTTGATTCAAATAATTTACAAATTTAATTAAATTTTTATATTTTAATTAATAAAACATATTTGAACTTAAATTTAAATACAAATAATCAAATTTTTATTAAATATAATAATCACATTTATTTTTATATGTTAATCCAATTTAATTGAATTAGTTCGAATAATTTAATTTCTATTTCAAATTAAGTTCGACTTTTAAAAAAAATTAATTGTGTTTAAATCGAATTTTGAATCTTAAATTTAAATTTAAATTTAATATTATATTGATTTGAATTGACCCTACTACTCCCGTGAGCAAATTAGACAAGTAATAATTGTAGGTGTAGCAACAGCATTGGATTGGTTAGATGGAAGGTTTTTTTTTTTTTTTAGTTGAAAGGGTTGCTGCTTTCTCCAACTATCTTCTAACCATGCCCAGCTGCTGAGTTTATGATTGGCAGAGAGAGAAATCCAAATTGCTCCTTCATGCTAATCTACTAAACTTTAGTACTAATTCAATCACCTACCTTTCCAAGACCATACACTAACTAATTACTACTACTCTACTCATTACATTTGATACTTTTACTTCATACTTATGCTTAACATCATAATAAATTTTAGTCATAAAAACAAAAAATTATTTAATTTTATCCATTCAAAATTTATTTTTAATTTTAATTTTTTGCATTATCTGAAAAAATACTCGAATATTTAATTTATTATTAATCATTAGTACATGTGGTTTTACTCAAAGAGTAAAAATAGAAAGGTAATAAATAATCCTATGGCCTAACCCATAAGAAGGATTCCATTTCTGGAACGAATGGCCCATTTGAGTAACTCAGGCCTCTTTCCATATATGGCCCAAAACTCCTTTCGTGTGTGATTCCAATCTTGTTTCTTCTTCCCCTATCTATTATTCTGTACCCTCCTGAAGGTATAAATACAATAACTTTCACAGAAAGTTGATGATATATCCATTAAAAAAAAAAGGCAGCGTTGTATTTAACTGATAGAATAGAAGCATAAAACCATTTCCTTTTTTGTGTGATTAATCTTCATCCATAGCCTACAAAAGTAGCAGTGGTCTCCTAAATGCTTCAACTTTTCTGAGGCAGACCTGAAATTGAGCCATGTGCCATATAATGCAAGTCCACCAATTAATGAGAATTAATAATTTAGTTGGATCTTAATTCTTACCACTCTGTCCATTGGCAGACTAGGAACCAACTTAGCCTACAGCATCCCAACCCTTTTTTTCCCTGATTTTAATATTTTTAATTTAACATTACCAACTAACTAAACCAATGAGCAATAACTATAGCTCAGGATAGGTGTCACGGTCCCTCAGCCTTAAATCTTGTATTGGTTGTATATTAGAGTTTATCTGGTTATATAAATGTTTACACAATCTTCAATTTGACAGCTTAGTGAAAAATGCGATCGAGTGAGACATAGACCTGAAAGTTCTAAATCTAACTTTCTATCCAGGGAGATTCTTGGACGTCACATTAAAAAACAAAGATGTTGCTTGTCTCAATCAAATGAAAGTTGTAATTGGATGCCAGTTTAAACTATTTAGTGTTAAATTTACATAACACATCGATATCATTTGCTTTTAAACAGGTTGATTGCAACAAGACAAGGAAGCCTTGGAATTGTGTTTGTCACGGGTGTGATAACTGATAAAGTGTGGAGGTGAACAAGTAAAACACAAATCCAAAAATCCAATGTTTCTGGATTAAATGCAGTCATCAGATCATTACAAATAAAAGTTACCCTTCTTTTTTTACCACAAATTCAGTCCATTTATGGTGTCAAAGTTGCCCATTACTCCATTATGCAAGAGGTTTACTTAAAAAGAAGAGGAAATCAGCACAATGAACAATATCAGTTAAAACGCCATAGCAGTAGGATAAAAAATTATGGGACAAATAGTATTTTTTTCAAAGTGAAATGATCTAGCCATAAAGTGTAATAAACGGACATTACCACTTCATTCAAATAGATAATACGAGATTTAACAATCAAGAAACTAGAATTTGTCCCAAATAAAAGAGAAAAGGAACATTGCTGCATTAACCATGGATTGTTGCTATGCACCTACTCCTGTTATTGTTAAAGAATTAAAACTTGCAACTACATACTGCCTTTTCCTTTTGCAGGAACCTAACCGAACTTTGGATGGATGAAACATTCCGATATGGCCATTAACAGTGTTGTTTAATTTCATTTTTCTCAGAGTATGATACTGAATTTTCACCGACTTCTATAGCTAGTGGGAAGTACTAGCACCATAATCAAAAAACCCAACTGAAACTTCTTGTGGCCAAGCTTTAACATGAAAAGTACTTTAGCAGGACTGCCACTAATAGTGTCACAGTTAAAAGGAGACTAAAGGAATCCAATTTTTTCCCCTTCTTTGTTCTGTGAACGCCGCAAAAGACTTGGCCATGAAGCTAGCTGCCATCCAATATGGAAATGAAAGTCGCATGCATTTTGCTTTATTATTCTTTCACATTCACATGAAATTCTCCATTTTCTTTTTCTAATGATTACGAGCTTTGTATGTACAACAATACACTCTCACCCATGAGACAGGAAAGGAAACATTGCACGTTAAGCCACTTACAGATGAATCTTGCGTGTTGTGCTGGCTGGCCTCGGCTGAAACCAGAACAAATTGTTGTGACCTGGTCGTCAAGGCTTAAACAAGAGAAAGTGACCAGGGCCCAATTTTCAGTCTCCTGTCCGGTGTGTGCATAAAATGATGAGCAAAACTTTGTTGGTTTAGAAATTCAATTGCCAACAGGCTGAAAATTATTTTTGATATGGTTCTATCTGTTTTCTAATAAAACTGGTTACATTAATTCTTAAGTGTCCTAAATTAGCATCGTTATGTCTTGGTTTTGAGTTGTTAAACAGAGTTTGGCCGGGTTGATTTACTCATTTATCTGTGCAATTTTCAACATTTATTTTGGCTTCCGTAAAAGAAAGTTACATTTAAAAGATCACAATCAATGCTCGTTAATCCTAGCTGGATGTCGGTCTATGATCTTTTGCTGCCGTCACAATCAATGCTCGTTAATCCTAGCTGGATGTCGGTCTATGATCTTTTGCTGCTTCTTTCTGTGAGGAAGGTTTGGAGGTTGGAGGTTGAACAGAGAATCTTTAAACCAAATCTATGCCATTGTCTGCTATTGTTTGGCCAATTCTCATCATATCCCAATTCTTTTTTCAATTCTTTAATCCCGCAAAAATCTCTTTCGTAATCTTCACTTAATCCTTTTATAATCCTAATTCTGATCTAAGTATGAAGAATTAGCATCCCCCTAAACTTTAATCCCATTATATTCCCATGCATTGCTACCTAACAATGCTCTATTCCGATAGATAAAATGCAATTATCTTCCTCCCAGGGTACAATTTGAGACTTTTTTTTTTGGCCAAGTGCCATTCGAGACTTGAGAATACGCTTTCGCCTCTCTACCAATAAAGCACTTTTGTGGTATTATTTTTCTTTCTAATCTAGTCATGGAGGGACCAAGGTCAAGCTTTTCTTCAGCTTCATAGTATTTTCTTATTTAAGAACCAGGGCATTAGGCATAGGCATGCGCAATACAATCTCACAGCTTCAATAATCTCAAACCTTTTGTTGTTGCTAAGCAACTCAGCAACAGCCAGCCTTTTTCTGCAGCATCAGTCTCAACTCCCAAGTCAACATTTGCATAGAAAAAGTTGCTCGTACAATAATAAAAGCCCAAAACTGTAACCATACGTAAAAATGAAAAATAAAAAAAATTAAAATAGAAAGTATTCAAGAGCAATCAACCCCACCATCTCCTCTCATCAATGCAGCAGCCTCATTTGCACATCCTTACAAGAAAAAAATCCCATCACAGTAAGCATCTTGGTGTCTTCAACATAGAAAATGGGGAAGAGTTGGCTCCTGGCTTTTATCCTTTGGCAGATAATTCCAACAGAAGCGGCCATCACTGTTGGTGGTGGTGTTGGCATTAATATCGGCAATGCTGGTGGCGGTGGTGGTGGAGGTGTTTGGATTGGTGGAGGAATCAACAATAGCCCTGCTCCTTCTGGCCCTTCAGTGTCAAAGCTCGGCGGTGCTTACACTGCTCTCCAAGCATGGAAATCTGCAATCACAGATGACCCATTGGGGATTTTGAAGACTTGGGTTGGCTCTGATGTGTGTTCTTATAAAGGGATCTTTTGTGCAGATCCTCAAGGTGCAGTGGATTCAACTTCTGGGCCATTTGTTGCGGGCATAGATCTCAATCATGCAAATCTTCAAGGCACTCTAGTCAGGGAACTCTCTGTCCTTGCAGATATCTCAATCCTCCACCTTAACAGCAACAGGTTCTCAGGCACTGTTCCTGACACTTTCAAAGACCTTTTATCACTTCAAGAGTTAGACCTCAGTAACAACCACTTCTCTGGTCCTTTCCCTATATTTACTTTATATATTCCAAATCTCGTTTATTTGGACCTTAGGTTCAACAGCTTCTCAGGACCCGTCCCTGAAGATCTATTCAACAAGAGACTTGATGCAATCTTCCTCAACAACAATCAGTTTGAGGGTGAACTTCCGCAAAATCTGGGTAATTCTCCAGCTTCTGTGATAAACTTGGCTAATAACAAATTCAGTGGAAACATCCCAGCTAGTTTTGGCTTCATGAGTTCTAAATTGAAAGAGATTTTGCTTCTTAATAACCAGTTAACAGGTTGCATTCCAGAAGGAGTTGGGCTCTTCTCAGAGATGCAAGTTTTTGATGTGAGCCACAACTCACTCATGGGTCATTTGCCGGACACAATATCTTGTCTGAGTGACATTGAGGTTCTCAATTTGGCTCACAACAAGCTATCTGGGGTTCTACCTGACTTGGTTTGTTCTCTGAAGAGCCTTATGAATTTGACTGTTGCCTACAATTTCTTCTCTGGGTTTAGCCAGGAATGTTCCAAGTTGTTCTTCAGGAATGCTGGTTTTGACTTCTCGCTTAATTGCATTCCTGGGAGAGACATGCAGAGACCACAACCAGAGTGCTCTGTGATCCCTCGAGGTGGGTTGAATTGTCTGAGAATTCCTTCTGCAGAACCTTTAGTTTGTGGGGCATTGCTTGGGAACTTGGAGGTTAATCTAACCTCACCGTCTCCATGATCTCATTACAGAGGAAGTCACTTGTATAACAGGTTGGTGATGGTTGTCAATTCTCCAATTCATTAATAGCAATTTACGATTTAGATTTTCCAAATTCATTTGTTCATGGATTCAGTTGCATCTTTTTATAATCAGTCTTTGAATGGTAAAGACATGCCCAGCCCAGGTAGCCGAGAAAAGGATTTATGAAGAGTATAATTAAATATTCAGGTAGAAAATGCTACTATAATCGGATCTTGACTACCCATAAGAAAATCCGATTAAAAAGACAATATTTTATTTGTCCTGTCTGACTCATTTAGCGCCACATTGTGATTTTCTGTGCAATTAGCTCGCTTGTCCAAACTCCTTGGTCTAAATGGTCTTGCCAAGACATTTTAGAATGCTAAAATCCATGGCCTGATTTACAACAGCAACTTTTTTTTTTTGTCATTCTAACACTATTCTACGTCGCCGGTACCACATTTATTCTGATTAATATTTTCTGATGACATTGCTGGCGGCATCAAGCTACCAATTTTCCTTCTTAATTTATTGATAATAAAGCAAATGTGGCTTGAAAGGAACTCTTTTAAGAAACAATACCAGCAGCTAGCTCCCTAGTCCCCCCATCAATGCAGAAGCTACCTGGAATCGGTGCTTAATTATGTAGATCCAAGTTGGTTCCAGCAGAGGAGCATCCCTCTTGTAACAGCGACAATGCCAATCTGTAATTTGTCAGAAGAGAAACCAATTCTTATTAACTCCGAATCGCCAGAGTTCAGTTTATACGTAAGAAAGGCCTGCTTAGATTTCTAAGAACCCACCCCAGATTATTAAAGGTAACAAGTAATATGAGCTAGCCATAAAGTTTTCACAACAAGAAGTACAGAATTACAACATATTAGGGAATTGCATTATATTGTTTAGGCAATGTAATACATTGCATTTGGCAGCTTAAAGGACCGTTTAGCTAACGCAAAACCCAGTAAATCACTCCACTGATCTCCAGAGCTCCCGTGGATCCTGTAACCTTCATTTACCAGAACCGATCTCCTCTCAGATTTGAATACGGTAGCTGGTGTCCCTTCATCAGAAGGTCCTCTGTATCATAAACCAAAATTTCATCAGTCATTCTTATGTTTAACAAGTTTTTATTTAAAGCCAGTTACATATACCTCAAAAGAAGCCTTTCCCAGCCAGTGTACCCTGCAAGCATAAGATTCTTTTCCGTGACATTCCTTTGATTTTCAGTCCGCCCAGTAAGCACAACTATTTTGAACCCCATCTGCTTCAGCGCATTATATAATTTCAAACTCGCTGGTATAGCTGGGGCCTCGGCTAAGTCCACCCACAGATCCCAAGAATTCTCGTCAAAAGTCTCTGATCTACGTCCATAACGATATAACCTTTGTAATTTCAATCAATGAACACAAACATATAAATTTAAGACGAAGTAAACAGATTACACAATTCCTCCAATTCAAAATACACGATAAACATGATTCACCCGATTCAAAATTTGCACAATCAAGGGCCAAATAAGCCATTGACAACTTCAACCCCTTTCTCTTCTCCATCCATCAAGAAGGAATTGTTTTATTGCCACATTCTGACCTTTACACAAGCCAAATGTCAACCACCAAGTTCAACAGCAAGCAAACAAAACTAGAAACTAGTACTATAGTAGATTCACTTTTTTCCTCCAATGGAAGTGAAGAACACAACCAAGTCAGATGAAATCATTTTCAAAACCACCCAACACAATAACTGTCCGTACACTAGTGAACTTCAATAAAAGTAGTTACGACTCACAATGAGCTACAACGCTCCACGTACTCAGTTTAATTATCTTATCCCAATCACCAGGCATGCAAAAATCAATTAGTACTTCTGTTTTAGTTTTTTCTTTTTTTACCACCAAGAAAAAACAAAAAAAATTTTTAACCTGGCCTGTAATTGTTTGCTTAGACAGATGCCAGATTGTCATTTTTGGCGATGGTTCATTGTTTAAGCATTACATAAAATCATTCTAATGATGGTTTTGCCTTTGTTTTTTCTTGGTAAACATTAATGATGGTTTAGTTCACACAACAATGCTACTGACCCCACAACAAGAAACCCACCGGGTTTCAACTCCAAGCGGTAAAAGCTCACGTGCCTGGTTCAACGACCCTGATTCGTAATTCCTTTTACTTGGTTATATCTTCGAATAAAAAACACATAGTGACAATGGACTCGCGTTCGTCTGATAAGAATATCAATATTCAATGCAAAACTTCCACGTGTATCTATCCAATTGGTTTCGTCATTATGGAAGAAACACGAGGCTACCTAACCGTCCACGACAAGACAATTTATACCGCAATATTCGGTTTTTTTACCGCCTTCTTAATCTTACCAAAAGCAAAGACACAGCGCATTCCTCGAATCTTATCTAACTATTGGTTTTAAAGGAAAGGGTTCACACACATACCCGAATCCGTGGGCTTGATAGTAGGGTAAATTCGACAACAAAGTTTCATCGACATCGAAGATCCAGGCGTCTTTTCCGTCGGATGCAATCTCGATGGAGGAGGCGTAACCGAGGGAGTAGTTAGCGACGATCTCGGAATCTGACATGTAGCGTTGACCGGTCATGTAGTCTTGGACGAAGGACTCGCAGCGGGAGGAGATTTGGGCCCAGCTTCCAGCGTTGTTAGTCTCGATGGATAAATGCCAGCTGGAACAGTAAAGGTCATCGTCAACGTGGGATTTGCGGCCGGTTGTTGTTGCGGGGAGCTGGATGAGGGGTTCAAAAGAAGCGGAAGAGGCAGAGGAGATGAGAATGGAGATGAGGAGGAACGAGAAGGTGACAGGCTGAGACGCCATTGGAAGATGGAATCTATATTTCGGGAGAGGGCTTTTTCTTTTCTGGTTTTTTCCTTCCTCTCCAAGGAGAATGTTGCCTAGCTGTTTTTTATTTGATTATGAAGAGAGTTGATTGGTATAAACGGCGCCGTTCGCAGCATTATATTTTGACCATACATTTTCTTTTTTCTTTTTTCTTTTTCTTTACATCATCCATGTTATTTTTTTATTAGTAGTTATGAAGATAAAGCTGTTGAAAAAATTGAAGAACGAAAAGGAAACTATGAACAACCAATGATACAATTGAATTTTTATCTATATATTTCAGTCTGCAAGGTCTTAATCCAACAACAAGAGAAATGTTCCCTGCATATTGTGTTTGACAAAACACAAACTAAAAGCAGAATCAAAATGATAAAAAACTCTTAGAAACCAGATCAGCAGCAGCCACACACCTAAACAGAAGAAAACTTGAAAAACATTTGGGGGAAAAAAATAAATAATTAAGGATGGAAAAAAAGAGAAGAAAGATGCAGTTGTCCAGCTCTCTGCTCAAACCAACAGTGCTTTACTGATGAAAAGCTAAAACTAAGTGGTTATCACGGCAGCGGAAGGGAAATTTGCAGTGAAATAGGGTTTTTAATTAAGTTTAAAGAAGAGGAATCCTGTTCATCATGGCAAAGTTCCTTCCTGAGTTTACGTGAGAAAAGTTGGCAAGCATCCATGCTAAGATCAATGGCAGCTGAAAGTGCAATAAACAGTGCAGCATCAGCCATGCATGTCACATGCTGCATCCCAATTTGTACCACAGGCTCGCTAACCTTTCCTTCACCTTCAACAGTCGAACCCATAACAAATCCTTTAACAGGTGACCTCAAACTCAATGTAGAATCTCGGGATACTCTCCTATCTATACAAAATTGGCCACCCTTTTTGACACTCATTGTACCTTCGGCAATAGGGAAACCATTATTAGGGCCATTCTCAGTGACAAGCTCAAACTTGTGGCCTAAACCATCGACAGGACCCCGTTCTCGCCATGCCTCTAAACGACCCCATGGTTTCCAGCTGCTGAAAGAGAAGCCGTGAGGGCTAAGTATTAGCCATGCACCAGGGTTTGATCTGGAAACACGGTCTGAGCCAGGGGAGGGTACAAACGGAGTGATCATTGAGGCAGCTGCAACAGGAGAGCCAGATAGATCATATATCATTATCATCCATACCTTCCTCTCCCTTCCTTGCCTTTCCTCTCCTGATAATGTTCTCATCCATCCTCTATTCTTGTTGGTAAAATCTGGAGGAAGGGGTCTGGTTTCACAATTGACAGGTAAACAAAGCAATCTATCAATAACATGAAAAATGAATATAAATTAAAATTGAAAAAAAAAAAGATAATTAAAGTAACATGACTCCATCAAATTGGAATAACAAAAAAAAATAGCCATCAAATGTTTGTGCACATGGGAGAGAATCAAAGGTGGTTGTATTTGACAGTTAGGGAGATATGGAAAGGAAACTTTCTGTTTGACCAAAATTATGTACGAGGTATACATTGTTATTCCTTTATAAAGTACCAGTAATAAGAGATTTTATTCTCAAGGAGATCATTTTCTAATAAAATTGAAGTTCATGGTCGGTCATGGCTGCTGGATCGATGCAGAGTTCTTCTATGGATTTTAATAACTACAGTTATAGTTGAACCTTTAAATTTGTCCAGAAAAGCTGCGGATAAAGAAAAAATGCAGTGACAGCAGTTCCCTGAATAATATAGCTAAAGAGGAAGGAAGAGATAGAACCTATATATTCACTTATATTCAGCCCTTAATCTTAAAAAAATCATGAATTCTCCTAATATCATAGAGCAAGGTCAAGAAGAGTCTAACTGGTCCCATCAATAACCATGTGTATCAAAACCAATAACAATAAATCATGCTCTTTTCAAATGTCTCTCTGATCTATCAATTTTGATGTTAACTCCTCCAAGAAAGCAACAGAAAAATTAGATAAGGTGGAAAACTAATGGTGTTGGGCAACTTGGGCATGTTGACATAAATTAGTACTCCAATTACCATCTCACAAAGAAAAAATCGAAAATCCCCAGTCCCCACGTGCTCCTAGAAAGTGCCCATACTCCTGGAATTAGTGGGACAAAACCATGATGTTCCCCCAAGGAAAATAACAGAGAACCAAATCCAAGAACCCACTAGACGCGCATTTTAGCACAGCCTTCAGGAAAACTCACTAAAATGCATCGTATTGGAAGTCAAAAAGGAAACGAGGAACTTACCGAGATCTTGAACGATCGGCGCTAAACTTGCAACTGAACATGGGTTGTCTAACGTTACCTTGAATTTGAAACACGACAGGGCTACATTCTGGTTCTCCACCGAATTGGAAAACGAATCGGGGATCAGGTTCAGCCCTGACCGTTAAATGAAGCTTAGCGGTTGGCTTATCCGTTTCGTTAACAAGTTTCATCCACCCATTTTGGAACACCGAAGGCCTCTTTTGTGACACACTCAAGTCCATGGTAACCTGAACCCGACCCACCAGCTTCCCACAACTGACTTTAATTCTTCCATAGGGAGGTTGTGGGGGACCTCTGTATTTATCGGGTGACTGGGACTGGGAGGCAAGCGTGAAGGCGCAGCATCCCCCATTTTTTTGAAACTCTTATCACTAAATTATGTTTATTGAAATGTTACGCTACCAAATTCTTTCATTCATGTTCCATTCAGTCCCTCATACACCAAACGAACTTTGGTAAGACATTAATTTTGTGAGGGTCTATCAAAATCATACATTATCTCATCAAAGCAACAAAGGGGCCCACACCAACTGTCCAATGGGCCATCTTGGAAACAAGGCCTAGTCATGTGGGTGTTATGCATGCTTGGCAAAAATGATGTGGCACGTTACCATTGGTTATTTCTTGGAGTTTGTGGAAAATTGCTGGCATGATGAGGGGATACATTGGGCAATCTTTTCATAACTTACAATAAGTGAAGAGAATTAATGAAGGGTTCATTGTGGCCCTAGTTTACCATTGGTGCTTTCACTATTTTTTCCGTGTCTCATTTTAAGTGTTCACTTCTTTGTTTTTTTTAGCCAGACGTGGGTGACAGATAAACTCATAAGAGGTATAAAAGTACAAAAATCCAACTGTAAGATTACATAAAATTCAAGATTCAATAGAAATGGGACAACTTTTGATTGGAGAAAATAGTAAAAGAGAGGCTTTCGTACCATAAACAAATGTACGCATGTAAGGGTAGGGCACACAAGTGAAGGAAATAGTGAAAAGAAAGCTGTTTTATCGAATGACTCGCTTCATTTTAGAGAAAGATTATAAATGAAAATTCACCAAATCACTTTTGATTTAATTACTTGCTTATCAAGGTCAAACTTTAATTATTTCACCATAGAAATAGAATTTGATTAAATTCTATTTCTATTTTATCTTTTTTTTTTTTGTTGATGATAGTCGAACGGTCAATGACCCCATTGACATTGGGCCTTGTTTCCTCGTCTTGCTATTCTGAAACCCAAGTTTCCAATTCCTGGCTCAGTATGAGTAGCCCAGGATCCAAGTTCATATGTTCGGACCAATTTGCATTACACAGCTGCTAGTCAGACACAGCAAGGGTCAAAATACGAAAAATTCTGAGCTTCTTCTAATTCTTCGGCTGTTTATGGAAGCAGAAAATAAGTAAAGAAATATTGGGCTGCTTTCTTCTCATTTGACAAGTTTTCTTCTGGGATTGCAATGTCTTCACCTGCTGAGTAAGTCCCATTCATCTTCCTTTTGTTTTTCTTTTCCCCTTTATTTCCTTTTCTGGGTTTATCGTTTTAAGTTGTTTTTTCTGCCCTTCCCACTGGATTTTGTTAATTATTAGCTTGGTTCTATGTTTTTTCATTTGGGCTAATTTTGTCGTTTTGTGCGGTTGGAACTCGCGTGAACATTGGAAAATTTCATTAGTTTGTCGTGTTGTTTCTCCGCTTTATTTGCTATGTCTGGTCTTGCCAAAATGAAGTTGGCATATGGGAAAAGCCGTCCTATGTCATTCCAATTGTGTCTTGCTATTCCTTGTTATTATGCGGAATATGATTGTTAGAATAATAATCCATTTATGAAGAAAATGAAAGCTATGCATATTGAGATAAGATAGTCTCTTACAGTGTAGCATCTCTTAAATGCACAATCTCGTGATAAAGAATTATTGTTTTGTCGTGTTAAATTAGAGTACCCCACCATTAAAGAACTTTTCCAAACTACTGGCCATGGCATTGTTGTTTTCAATTGCCATGCTTTTTCAACTGGATGGTAGCAGCTGCATACGTTAGTGACAGTAACACTTTTGGTTGTAGCAGAATTAATTTAGGCTACTTGTTTTTATCTTTTATGTGGCGTTACTGTCTCCGATGATTTGTGATAGTCTGCTTATTTCAAATGTACTGTTTTGTTACTATTTGTATTAATTTTTAATTATCTATTTCTTTCTTTCTTTTTTTGACTAGTTTGTTAACCTTTTTTTTCAGATTTTATAACTCTCTTCCACCTATAAGCAAGGCTTATGGGACCGCATGCTTATTGGTCACTACAGCCTTTCAGTTAGGACTGCATGATGTTTATCACATTGCGTTGATACATGAATATGTATTCAAGCATTTTCAGGAAGGGACTTTATATAAGCTTGATTGTGAAGAACAGATGTGTGGTTCCTAGAATCCAATAATTTTCAAAATGCGTTTGATTTTGAGTTTTCTCTGATGGAACGTGATTTTGCTTTACCTAGATTATGGAATGTTAATGTTTATTGCATGCATTCTGCTATATACATGTGCTTTTATTATTGTTATTATCCAAGGAAAAAAAAAGGAAAAATGAAGAAGAAAAATAAAAGCTTATCATATTGCCCTGTAAATGGTTGTTTATAAATTGAAATGGATTATGTTGTTTCTATTTCAGGCTTCTATGTATGAAATAGCATTTCTGTAAAGTGACTAATGTTCACTATAAAAAGTTGTAACAGGATAGATCTCTATTTCTAAAGTTTGGTTCTCTGTATAAATGGTAAAATCTCATTTTATTCATAAATATTTAAATAATTATTTTTAGTTAATCAGGAGAATTCTCTTATAACTTCACATGTCTGTAGGTGTGGAGGGTAATTACAAACTTCTTTTTCCTTGGGAAATTTTCTATCAATTTTGGAATACGGTTTTTAATGATGTGAGTATCACAGCAAGATAAGTAGTTCAACTAGGGAAGGGACCATTTGAAAGGCGGACAGCTGATTTCTTGTGGATGATGATATTTGGTGCATCGTCATTATTGGTGAGTTAGGGCATGTCCCTTCCTGTTCAACTTTGTAATTTGGTGGTTCAAATTGATTGTTTCCAGTGGAGATGAGGGGCAAACCATCATACGGTAGGGTTGGCATAAATCGCTCTAAGATCTAAGAGCAAAATGAAACACCTTCTCCGCCCTTGTGTCTTTGCTAACAATCACTTTTTAAAGCATTTGGTACTAAAGGTATCTGGTTTAGATAATGATCACCTCTCCATGTAAAAACTCAGGTAACTAAAGTATAAAATACTATCTCCTTCCATTGTCTTCTGTTCTGGTTTTAGGTTTTGTCAGCAATCCAAATATTCTGAACCCCTTTCTTAGGGATATCTCTTGTTTTCATGTTTCTTTATGTCTGGAGTTAGGGTTTTCAAATGCTCAAATCAACATATATGGCCTTATGACACTTCTGGTAAGCTTAACTGTAACTTTCGCACATATTAGTTGGGATTCTGTAATCTGTTTACGTAAGCTTTCTGGGGCTGAGAGTTTAAGTTCGTACGCAAACTATTTGCATATTTATTACTTCAGGCATCTACCATGGACAATGCTTGCTTTGGATGTTATTTTTGGTTCACCACTCATCCCAGATCTGCTATGAATCATTGCTGGACATCTATATTACTTCTTGACAGTGTTGCATCCTCTTGCAACTGGAAAGGTCATCCTGAAGACGTCTATGTGGGTGTATCCTTAAATTGTTTGGTTCTTGAGGAGAAGAGTATGTTTAGCAGTTTAGCCTTTATTTTTTATGTTCCTTAAATGCAACGTGATTTATCAATTCCTTGTATGCCATTTTTCAGTTCTATTATTGATAGATATATCTCATAAATAAATTCTATCATTAGTCTTTGACCTCTTCATAATGCTTCATTTTCATCTTTGATCTAAAATACTCAATTTTTTCATCTACAATCTTTTGAATTTGGTCCAAATTCATCCATCTGTCAAACTTCCGTTATAATTTCGATGAGATATGAACTAAATTTGCCATGTGGTACTTTGGTGGACATACACGTGAAATTCATTCAAATTGTAACGGTATGTTGATGGATGGATGAATAATGGATTTGGAACGAATTCAAAAGCTAGTGGATGGAAGTGAAACTTGCGAGAAGGTCATAGGTTAACAATGACATTTAATTCATAGACACAAACTTGCAACAGTTTCTTTTCCTTGACTGCTACTGCTGCACAGACACAAACTGGTTGCAAGGTGGAGAATCGGAGCTCCAGCCCATCCAAGCAGTCATGCACAGCCTGATAGATCAACAGGTGTGGCTTTCAGGGGAAGAACATATCGACTTAATGGATAATTGCTATACTTTCTGGTATCACCTCAACTAGACCATGAAGATTTACCTGTTGTCATTTCTAGACTCCACTATCAACAACCTCCCCATTTATTTATTTTTTCTCCTTCAGATGAGCCGCTAACAAAGAATCAAAATGTTTGATAACAGCCTATAACAAAGGAAATTCTCAAATAGGTCCTGCCTATTCATGTAATTGACTTGTGGAGAGAGCAAACATCTTGAGCAAAGCCAATGTTGTTGCTTCATATTTTGAACTAGAATTATTATTTCCTTTAAATCAATTGTTATCTTTTAGGTTTTGCATTGTAGGAAGGATGAAAATAGATGAAAAAAAAATTATTAATTTAATGATTAAATTACAAAATAAAAAAATTTATTATGAATTTTAATTATTAAATTAATAAAATTTTCAGCCTCTTCTCTTTATATCCTTTCTAGTAAAGCCTTAATATATAACAATTAAGACTTCATTTGCATATTATTACTTTTGTTATTTATTTTTGTATTTGCCTTTTAGTTCTTCAAATTTTGTAATAAAAAAGAACTAAATAGTAAAAAGAATTCAAATATACTACAATTGTTTCAATAACAAAAAAGTTATGTACTTCTTCCATTTCTTTTTCTTTGTTCATTTTTTTATGTTTTAAAATATTTTTTCATTTTTAATATCTATTACCTTTATTTTTTTCTATATTTTTTAAATTGATTTTTATTTTTTTTATTTTTTGAAAAAATGGTACATCAATATTTTAAAAAATAAATTTATAATATTAAATATATAAAAATCAAAATCTTTTTCTAATATATGTGAAAATTAAAGAGAAACCAAGAAAATAAAAAGGAAAAAATACCGTAAAAATTTTACAGCATTGAAAATCAGAACTGAAGGAATAATATATATATATATATATATATATAGATTTATAGATTTTAAAGCAAAAACAATACTTTGGCGAAAAAAAGTTATAAGCATTAGAAATCTAAAGGCACGACTGCAAATGCCATTAAAAGCAAAAATAGAAGACAAGAATGTGGGCAATGTGACACGTGAAAAGAGAGAAACAGAAAAAAAAAAAAAAAGAAGGAAAGAAAGGGGGTTGGGAGAGAGGGTCATGGGGCTATGGGTGCTAAAATAAAGGCGGACGTGAATGGCAGTGATTAAAAGGAGTAAACGAACGGCTGAGAAATCATCAAACCAGCTTTTTCAATGCTTTCCATTCCTTATTCCTTGCATCCTTATTTATCGTCCCTCCCCCTTCAACCTTCACCATTACCAAACTTGAGTCTATTCTCCCCCCAATACCATTTCACGCAACATACACAAAACAAAGACCCCCAACATCTCTTAGTAAATCAAACCAACTTACAACAAACGAAGAAAATGTCGTGGCAAACTTACGTAGATGAGCACTTGATGTGTGACATCGATGGCCAAGGTCAGCACCTTGCTGCCGCTGCTATCATTGGCCATGACGGCAGTGTCTGGGCTCAGAGCTCTACCTTCCCTCAGGTCATATATCATATTAATATTAACTTTTTTTTTTCTTTTTTGGTTATAAGATTGTTGTCTGATTTAATCCCCTACTTTGTTTTGTTTGCAGTTCAAGCCTAATGAGATCGCTGACATCATGAAAGATTTTGATGAACCAGGCCACCTTGCCCCTACAGGCTTACACCTTGGTGGCGCAAAGTATATGGTCATCCAGGGTGAGCCTGGTGCTGTCATTCGTGGAAAAAAGGTTATGCTTTGTTACAGTAACACATCATCGGTACAAAAGAAAATACATATTAAGGCTTGAAATTACTAGTATTTAATTGGAAAACTGTGAACATTTGATGTGGGCAGGGATCAGGAGGGATCACTATTAAGAAAACTGGACAAGCTCTGATCTTTGGCATCTATGAAGAACCAGTGACTCCAGGACAATGCAACATGGTTGTTGAGAGGATGGGTGATTATCTTGCTGATCAGGGCCTGTAGTCGACCTACCTTTAAAATTCAATGCCTTTCTTGTTTTTAAGTTCTGGTTCCAAGTATTTTGCATCTTCTCCCATTTAAATCTATGGCTGTCAAGATGGTTTGATTGGCATTTGGACTTGGTTGATTCACTTGCCTCCTTCTCCATATATGTTTTTTTTTTTCTTTTTGGGTTCTGTGTGTAATCCCCATCAGTGGTTGCGGTATCTATTTTTTGTTTGGCACTATTTGATGCCATTTTTTTTCTATGTTTTGGATTTTCCCTATAAAGAAAGTTTGAATATGCCATTTTTCTTTGTGAATGAGAGAATTATATTTCAGGTTCCTTGATTGTCACTTGCTTTCCTGATTAGTTCAAAATTTTTTTTCTGCGATTTTGTTATTCCACTTTCTGACTTCTGAATTCCTAGAATATCTTGACTTTTTTATCCCTTCTGAAGATTATGTGAAAAGCAATGATCTCCTCCACAGCAAGTGCAACGTAATTGTCGAAAGGCTTGGTGATTATCTCATTGAACAAGATCTTTGATGTCTTGGGTGTGCCTTATTTGAATCAATTCTTCTTGGTTCCTATACAAACCTGCATCTGCCACCTCCTATAGTAATGGTTGGATGCAGTTAAATAATAGTATTACTAGTTCTAGTATTAAGTCACGAGGAACCTTTCCCAGAAACAAAATGCTTGGTGTTTGTTATGGTGATGCTAATGATCTCTTTGTTTCTGTACTTGTTTGATGGATGGTATTATCAAGGTTGTCTGAGGTACTTTGTCCACATTTACAATGCCTTATGTTGCCTGCTAAAAGCATCAGGATCTGGATGTTACAGAAATCTGTTCGGAATTCAAAAGCTTCTCGTGATCATTTGATACATGTTCGTTTGGGTTTTTGGTGATTTGTGTTTAGGGTTTGAAACTGACAGCGTCCGTTATAAAATGCAGCTTTATAACTCAAACCGTTGCTTCACCTTTGACACAGGTGAGATTAAATCTAAGAATAACCACCCATGAAGTACGCTGACATACAAGCTACAGACTACTGTTAAATGTGAAATTGGCTTTATTACTGGCCTCGTCAAATTGGAAGCGTTTGCCTTTTCATTTGGATGGTTGGAGAAGATGGAAGTGAAGCTACAGTTCCATTATAAACATTGAAAGAAACACTAGGCCTTTAACTAGCATGAAAATTGTACCAAACACAGGTTACTGCAATCGCACCACATTTAATACAAGCAGCAATGACCGGCACATACAATTCTTTTATTTTGACAGCATCTTGTCACCACTACCAATAACATACAAAAACTAGAGGCAGCATCAAATTATTCCCCACCACAAATTTCTCGAATCAAATCTTCCTCATCTCGCGAGGGCATGCCAGATTCCTTGGCTGTCTTCAAAATGATGTATCTAATACATTGCCCAGGTTCAAAACAACGGAGATTAAAGTCATTAGAAAGAAAGTAGCAATCCATGGACACACTTCAGTCTGCGGAGAGGAAGAAATATTAGCAATGGCAGTCGTGTTTCTTGCTGCAGTTTTGATGATCCTGCATGATAATCACAATAACTTCAGTACATTCAGTGATGAGTGTCCTAAAGATGGGATCAAACCAAAGGAAGCAGGTGTGTGATGAAATACTAAAACATAGAGAGAGGAGGGCAAAATGAAGGATGACAAGGAATTATTCAGAACCTGAGCTTACCCTCTAGTGGTCAGATAGATGCAATTATCATAGCCTGCACAAATAATTAAGAAAATTAGTTTCAAGGTAGCAAGATCATTGCAGAAGGGATTCTGAATGACACCATCAAAACCGTAGAAAAATAAAATAACAAATAAATACTGGTAGTTCCTTGACTTCCAAAAAACCATGCCAAACTAAGAGATTAAAGATAGATTAGCTAACAGGTAAATGAACATTTTATGGTATCACCCGAGTTCAGGCCCGTTGGAGCAAGTTTGATGTACATCAAATCAAACATGGTTAGAAAGTGAAGATTAACACCTCTGAGCAGCTCAGTTAGTACAATTGGACAAGATAAGCATGCGTAATGCATTTTTGTAATTAGGTTCTGCATAAAACAATAGACTTACTGGGATCCTTGTCAACTTTGACCCCATTTCCTCCAAAACTGCATGCAACGTCACTGGCCCCGTTTTGCTGGTAGTAACTATTGAATGCGTAAGAGGCATGGGAAACTAAATTATCTGGCTCAAAACATGGCTGGCTAGGCTGAATGGCAGAGCAATCCACATTCCCAGGACCACAAGCCCAATCTAAGGCATTCTGTAAATTTGATTCAGAAACCTTGCTAGAAGCAATGCACCAGGTTGTTCCATTTGAATTGGTACCATTTGTCATATCAACAGCACCTTTTCCAGTGAAGTCCAGGTTATAGACACTTGTCTGGTCTGGATAAAATAAGCCCCAGTTTCTCTCTGATTCCAGTCCAGGCTTCCTGTTTTCATTAAACAACGAGAAAATATACACATCTAGCTTTTCGCCAGGCTTGGCAGGAGTGCCAGAGTCATCGATAACATGACGAATTAAATTGGTGTTATAAGTCTGGGCATTGTCAGGAGTAGCAGCCTTCTCTTTGGGTGAACCTTTGGAAGGCCAGCCAGTTTCAGTGACCATAATCTGAATTGTTCTGAAATTTACTGCCATCAGGGCATAATAAAGGGCATCTATCTGGGCATCAAACATGTTTGTGTAAAGTAGGCCAGTGTTTGGATCTATGACTTCTGAGGATAACTCAAACAGAGCATAATCCAAAGAGACATTGTTTGGAGAATCTCTATAAGCATAATATGGATATAAATCAATCATAAATGGTGATTGGTTCTCAGCTAGGAATTCCAACATAGGTTTCAAGAAAAATGCATATCTGCTGCTAAAAGCCCCGGCAGAAGGTGGGAATGATCGGGACAGAACCCCTAGGGAATGGGTACTTGAAACTTTAATCCTCTTGTGAAGGCCAACCTTTTTCAATGCTGTGAGGACATTATGCATAGCAGGTACAACCAAGGCAGAGACATTATCTGGGCTCTCTGTGACTTCAAGACCTACAGTAATGTATGTGATCTTTGTGGCCGGGTAGTATTGAAGGATGCTATTCTTTAGCCAGGAATCTGCATTTGATTGAAACTGGGAGAATGCTAACAAGTCTGAATTTGGTACCCCAACTATAAGTTCAACTCCAGTGTTTGCAAAGGCCTTTAACACTTGGATATTAGAATCGTAAATCCTGAGGTACTTAATGTTGTGAAGTTGAACCACTTGTGCTACTTTATCAGGTGTTGGAAGATCATCAGCATTCCTTCCATAGCAAACACCAACTATGCTTCCCCTACAGAAATCTGCCATATAAATTGGCATCAGATATAGTCCTCAACTAACCATTGAACCCAGTTTAATTGATAGAGCAACTGAGCAACCTTACATGAGTAGAGAGCAAAATTAAAGGACCGACCAACAAAAATAGAAAAAGAGAGAACAAAGACATAAATTGCAGCATAGCGTCGGTTGTTACACAGTTTGTGACAAAAAGAAATCATCCAGCAGCCAAATACAAGATAATCTCCTTAAGAGCTACATTAACAACCAGGTTACTGCAGATACTTAAACAATTCATGGGAAAAGCAATAATAAACCAGTGTACTCAATTCTTAAGAAATGAAGAACTAATAATCAGACACCTGATTCAGCATTCCATCATGAAATGTGGTCAATCTATGATTGATATAAACTAAAGAAGATTATCAAGGGGTCCACCGACTAAAACATTGGAATCTAACTGTTGTACATATCGAAGCCCTACCAACTCGATAGCATGATCAATGCAAGTATAATCTCTTGGTCTACAAAGATAACATTTCTTGTTGCATTAAGACTGAGCTAGATAAGCCAATAGCAAATGATCAATACAAGGAAACCCAGTTGAGGCAGAGAGTGAATAGGCAAGAGAAAGAGTGACCGATCACAGAAAAGAATGAAGAACAAGCAGAGTGCTGAAAAAGCTGAGATTTTTACTCAGAAGAAATGTGGGTATTCAAAAACAGGGATTGAAGCCTGAAAAATACAAAGATCTAAGCACAGATGGATAGAGAAATAGCTAATAATAATAATAAAAAAACTTCAGCTCAAACGAGTTCTGGGATAGAAAAGCACAAAACGAAGCTCTGTTAGTAACTGTAATGCAGAAACGCAGTGAAGAGAAGAGAAAGATAGTAGGACAAACCTAAAAGTAGAAGCAACAAAGAAACTGCAAAGACAAACTTGAATCTTGAAGCCATTGTTCATAAGAAAAAAAAATTCCAAAGAATCTTCTTCTCTTCTACTATATTCCTACTGGGTTTTACTTGGGTCTGTCAAACTTCCAACATTCTTATAGAGAACAAAACTAGTGCTCAATGTGTCTCTTTTCCTTGTTTCTGTCTCTCACTCTCGCTCTTTTCAAAATGGAAAGCAGAAAAAAAAAGGCTTTCTGTGGAGCTCGTGAGTGACAGAGGGAGCACTTAAGTTAAAGCTTGGCTGGCTGAGCTTTGATGTACGGCTGTGTTTTGTGTCAGAGTGACACAGTGTTTCGTACCGGATTTCACAATTATTTTTATGAATTCAAGTTAAAAGACGCGTGTCGATTCCGCTTCTTTGTCCTTACCATGTTTGTTCTTATCTTTAATCTTCTGTTTCTTCCACACCCTTTTCTTCTCAAAGGTTGTAAAAAAAAAAAAATGTGGCTTTTGTTGGATTTTTTTTGGCCAAAACTTTTGTTGGATTATATTGCTTATTAAATTTTAAACTGCCATCTAACATAAAATTAAAATTAATTGACAAAAAATAAGTGACATTTATCATATTTCTATGTCAAATTGTTTCAATCGAACAGATATAAAATTTATTTTATTTTTACCTCAATACTTTTTTTTTACCTGTAAAATAATGGGTTTATCGTACGACATAAATATCATGTATATAAAATTTAAAAGAATCACACCTCAAATCTAATTATTAGAAAGGAAGAACCCAAAGTCCATATAAATCCTACAATAAAATTCCGTACTTTTTAATTGGGATTAAATTAAATTTGAATTTTATCATTTTTTTATAATATAATTATATTTATAATATCATTAATTAAATTTAAATATTAATTTTAATAAAATTTATTGAACATAAATTTTTTATTAAAATCAAAATTAAAAATTAATTTCTTCCCTCGTGCAAATAGAATGTAAATCTTATTGGAATTAAGACATGAGTAAAGTGAGTAATTCAATCCATCCTGACGAGTTTTGACCTGATCCAAGCATATAAGATTGAGTTTTTTTTTTTCAAATCGAGTCATAGGTTTGGTCAGGTTTAGGTTTTAGATAAATTCAATCAAATCCGATCTGATATTATATAAAATTAATTTTTAAATTAATTTTTTATTTATATTTTAAAAATAATATTTTATATTTTAAAAAATAATATTTTATCAATTTCGAGTTGGGTATGATTTATATACTATTAAATTGGGTCGAGTTCGAGTATAAAATTTTTTTTTTAAAATCAAATTGAATCGAAATCGAATTTGTCGAATATGAAATCAGATCAATTTGAGACAAGCAAAAACTTACTCTGACCTGATTCGTTATCAACTCCAATCATGAGTCACGACAATCTAACTTTACGGTTGAAGGATTTTTATTATATTTATTTGACTAAAATATTCTTAATTTAACAAATGTGAGATTTTTTTTTTTAATACTTCAATTATTTCTGGCTTTAATTTACTACATCCACAATAATAAAAAGGTGAAAGTGAAAGTAACGGTCCTGAAAAAGTTTTACCCCCTAATTCTTGATTACTTTTTGTTTACATGTAATAACAATTATTCTCTTTTTTAAAATATTTGAATTGTATTGATTTTTATAAGAGTTAAAAATAATTTTTGATTTTAATGTATTTGATATTAAAATTTAATTTTTTATAAAATTAAAATTTTATTATTTTTATTGTTAAAAAGTAAAAAAATAATTTTAAAATATATAAAAAAAAGAAAATTTAATATTAAAAAAAACATAATTTTGAGATATTTTATAAAAATTGAATAAAGAAAATGAGACAAAGAGATTATAATTTTTTTCTTAAGTTTGTGAATCTCTATAAAGTAAGACAATGTTGTATTTAGTTTTATTTATTTCCTTTTACTTGAAATGAAAAAAACCTGAGAAGAAGCAACATCGTACCATGCATGAATGTCATGGCACCGCACTTGGCAAGGCCGAGGTTTCATGTTTCAAAATGTCCCATTTTTCATTTTCTATACAAATACTGAGAGATGGGGAATCCGAGATCTAAGTTAAAAAAAAATAAAAGGGGATTGGGAATTGGGTGATGCAGCCTACAGGTAGATGGCTTGTTGGGCCATCGGCCTTCATCAGATCTGATAGAAATGGGCTGAACTTTGGAAGCGGAGCCCAGTTGAAAGTTGTAGCGTCCATTTGGGTTATCCTTTGACCGACCACATAAGATTATTATTTGACTTTGTTTTGCGCGGTCTTTCCCGTTTGAATTTATAACGAATCCATCCTCACTTTTTCAATATAAAAACCCTAACTGAACAGTTACTATATAATCACTCAACAAAAGAAAATTTAACAAAGAAAATGAAGATCAAGAAGCCCTTGAAGCAACTGAAGCTCTCTGTTCCTTCTCAAGAAACCCCAATCTCTTCTTTCCTGTAAGTTTCTTTTTTTTTTTTACCTATTCCTTAAGCATATTTCTAGATTGCTTCGATATCGGATCAAACTTCGCTTTTTAATTTACTAGAAATCGCTTCTTGAATCAAAGTTTATGGCTTGATCAGTTTATGGTTTCCGTCACATTTTCTCTGTTTCGCTGCCGGCCAATTAAAGGTGAAAATATTTTGCATTTGAATTTTTTTTACCATAATATCTTCAGGACAGCGAGTGGGACATTTCACGATGGTGATTTGCTTCTAAATCAGAAAGGGTTGCGTCTCATTTCCGAGGAAAAAGAATCTCGAGTAAGTTTTTTAAACTAATTTAGGGACCTTTATGCTTCGTTGGAGGGTATTTACGTCAGCTCAAATTATTCTCCTTTTGGTAATATTTTACTAGCATTTCAGTTTTATATGCTTTTGTAGCTTTGTTCATGGCATTCACTTCCAATATGCCCATATAAAAAACTATAACTCGATTGGTTTTGATTGTATTAGTATTGTGTTGAAAGTGCACCTCTGTTTTCAGTGCTATATTTTGTCGCTTCATTTTTGTTTCCCTTGAAAATTAAGGACAACATTGATGGTAAAAAGTTGGGATTAGGTTAGAATGTATTGTGACATTTGGGGAATCCATGGAAAAAGGTGCTGTTGTACTTGGCAATATTATCAAAAGTATCATCAAATTTTGGATTCTTGGACCAAAATACTTGTCCAGGGCCTTCCTGCTTCTTCAATTACTTAGTAAAAGACTTCAAATTACCCCCCTCCCTTTCTTCTTCTGTTCTTCCAACTTCCCTCTGCCCACTTCCCTTCAAAATCCATGTTACTTTCCTCATATCCCAAAGTCTGTATGTTTTATGTGTGGTGTTTGTTTGAACAGGTAGCTAACCGGTTATGAGCAGCAATGGTTGTTCAAGTTCCCATAGTGTTATTTATCCTTTTGCTTTTTAGAATCAATATTCTGGGGATTCAAGATTTTTTTTTTTAATTTTTTGTTGGGTTACTTTGAGCAGCCTTCTGACGGCAAGGAGCTTGATTTTGAATTCTCATTGGAAGATCTTGAGACCATCAAAGTTATTGGGAAGGGCAGTGGTGGCGTAGTACAACTTGTTCGCCATAAATGGGTTGGAAGATTGTTTGCCTTGAAGGTAAGTGTTCAAGACTGACAAACATTTTTCATTTGCTTGTTAGTTTTTTAACTTGCTATTAAGAGACTGCTGATTTTCCTATTGTCTTTTATCTGTATCTTAAACCAGGAACTGATGTTAACTTGTTAAGATTACTAGCCTTAGGTTTATCCTTTGCTTCCTCCTTTCAAGTCATGTAGGATATGAGAATTTCCTGATAGATATATAATGGGGATCATGATAATTTGGGTTGAGAGGGTGGTGACCAAAGAAGGCATGCAATAAAAATATAATACTGGTACTATTTTCACAATTAAAAGTTTAAAATATAGTACTGTTTCGTTGACGATCTACAGGGATAATAGAAGGAAGGACTGTTCCATACTTCTTTTATTATTTGTGCTTCACGCTATACTACAGATTAAAGATATGTTAGCCTGTGCTTCTCTTTTCTTGTATGATGTTGATATGGCCATGTCTTCATAATTGTTTGATTTCTAGAACCGGAACACAAAATCCTCATAACTAGCATTCTCACCTTTTTTCCTGGTTTTGACTAAATATTAACATTTTCACTATTTAAATTGCATCTACTTCTGCTTGAATATTGACTTAATCATACATAGTAGTAAAAAATTTTGAAATGCTTGGAACATGGTGGTTATAAATGAAGAAAAACAGATTCCATGAAATTCATTGGTCTACTAAATGCAGGTCATCCAAATGAACATACAAGAGGAAATTCGCAAGCAAATTGTGCAGGAGCTAAAAATAAACCAAGCATCGCAATGTTCACATGTTGTGGTTTGCTACCATTCTTTCTATCACAATGGGGCCATATCTCTGGTGCTAGAATACATGGACCGTGGATCTCTAGCTGATGTGATCAGACAAGTAAACACGATTCTTGAACCATATCTGGCAGTTGTGTGTAAGCAGGTATTCTTCCTTTCTATGAATTGAAATTTTACGAATGGCCTAAAAATACAAGCCCTAGCCAAAGCTAAACAAGTGAGTTCTTCTTTCTACTCATGTATCTTTATGTTTCAGGTCCTACAGGGTCTTGTGTATTTGCACCATGAAAGGCATGTAATACACAGGGACATAAAACCATCCAATCTACTGGTAAACCATAAAGGGGAAGTGAAGATCACTGACTTTGGTGTCAGTGCAATGCTGGCTAGCTCTATGGGCCAGAGAGATACATTTGTAGGGACTTACAACTACATGTCGGTATGTGGAGTTACCACACTATTGAAATTACTCAGTAAAACTTTGGTTTGTCGTTCATCATGGCATCTTATTTTGCTGCTTGTGATTAGCTACTTCAATTTGTCTATTCTCACTTAGATTTGATATAAAATTTTAATCTTAATCATCTTGTTTCCAATTGTAGCCGGAGAGAATTAGTGGGAGTACTTACGACTATAGCAGTGATATTTGGAGTATGGGGATGGTAGTGCTTGAGTGTGCTATTGGACGTTTCCCATATATGCAATCTGAAGATCAGCAAAGCAGGCCTAGCTTTTATGAGCTTTTGGAGGCAATTGTGGAAAAGCCTCCACCAACTGCTGCACCAGATCAATTCTCTCCAGAGTTCTGTTCATTTGTATCAGCCTGGTAAATGTTTACACGTTTAGTTTGCATTATATCATCTGATCTCATCCAAGTGATCTGTCAAACTTGGAATTCTTTTGCCATTGTCTAGGCTTTTTGTGTTAGTTAGCAACCCTCTCCAACATGCTATCCACTTTTGCAGCATGTAGCAAGAAATATTGGTTCACAAGTTCTTTAAATGCAATCTTACCTTCTTAATATCACAAAAATCCAAAACTTTATCCTCAAAGGCTCATTTTATGTGCTTTTGACAGCATCCTCTAAAAGTGGTGGATGTTGTAATATACTACGATTTTCTTTGAGGACAAATCATTTGCACTGCATTTGAGATTCAATGAACAATTGGAAACTCTTATCCAATGAAATTTTGCCCATAATGCCTTTGTAGTTATCCTTTTGTACTAACTTCCTGAAGTTATTAGACGGCAGAATATCTTGCGAGTTACGTATTTGTTGTGTTTTGTGAAACATTCATGTGGAAGCTTATCCGGTTCTTGAAGATGAAAAAAGCTTTTACATTAATTTCATTTCTTTACGTAATACTGCTTGATCATTTTCCATTTGCTTTTGTTGTGATTGATAAACAGTATTCTAATTGCCTTCTCCAATTCCATTTTTAGCATACAGAAGAACCCTCGAGAGAGAGCATCATCTTTGGACCTCTTGGTAAATTTCACTCGGTTTACCACCAATTTCTTGGTAAAATATATATTTTTTCTCCGAAACCTTGATTGTCACTTCTTTTGTTCTTGCAGAGTCACCCCTTCATCAAAAAGTTTGAAGACAAGGACATCGACCTTGGCATTTTGGTAGGTAGTTTGGAACCCCCTGTGAATTACCCAAGATAATTTGCCTTGTAATAATATGTTTTGGTCTTGTTTCACTCTTCACCTTGTTCAAACCTACATCAAGAATTTCTTGTAGCACTTCATATATCAAGGTTTCATATTCCGACCAAAAGACAAGTTTGATTGCAAAATCTTTCTATTTCTCTCTACACATTGAAATGTTAAGACCTAAGAAGAATCTTATACCAAATGAAATCAACTATAGCAAAAAATATTATGACAAGAAATAATCTTTTAGGCAGAGTTGGATGGACGAGATAAGCTCATAAGAGCTGTGGGTACTAAACTAGGGAAGAAGAACTAATAGCAAATAGGGGCGATTAGGGTTCAAGATGTGGGCACTAGAAGGGATAAGAATGGAAGAATAAGGCCTACCTACAAAAACTTGTGGTGCCATTCCTATTGCCCATCAAATAGCCTATTTCCCATCATGATTTGTTCCCAAGTTAATCTTCTTATCCTTTTTCACTACCTTACCAACCTTTTGGCCCCCCACCTTTAATAGAAAAACGAAGGAAAATCCATACAAAATCCAACAATTTAATGCAATCATCTTTAAGAACTATACTGTTTTATGCATTGGCAGTGATCTGTCTGAAGTTGACACTTTGAGAGGAAATGGTAGCCATGTTTTGTTAAAAGAATAGTCTAGTTGTTTTGCTTTTTGACCATACAAAATTGGGTGTTCCAAAAATTGAAGAAACTTGTTAGGAATGCGATATATTGAAATTTTTTATTTGAAATCCTTTTATGAACATCAAGATCCTATTCACCAGCTGGCAATTACAATAATTAGTTAGCCATATCATTCACAATAAAGCTTCTTTTCAAATTAAAGCAAATTTCTAATCAGATGGATTTTGCGATCTTTTGGATACAATTTTTGGGGGGTTTGAACATCTTTTTCGTATTAAAATCTAACAATTTTCGAATGTGTAAAAGTTGTAAAAAGAAAGGGAGAGTATCAACAAAAATAAGAACACTAGTTTTATTGTTACATGTTAAAAGAGGAATCGAGCTCGTTCATTCTGTACTTGAAGAGTAAACTTTTTTAACTTGCGAAGAATTTTTGATGAAATTGACAAGACAATCATTGACTTTCAAAATATTGAAATGAAATCCCTTAAGAAATGTTTCCCATAGTGGTAAAAACACACCCAAATCCACCAAGAAATGTTTCCCTGAACTCATCGAAGCTTCTTCTGCCAATACATCTAGATAAAGATTCCTCTCCTATGCTTCAAGTTTTACAATGTGATTGCAAGTTAAAACATGTAAATTATGTCATGGTTTTTTGAGGCAAAGTTGTTTAAGATAGTAACCTCATTTTCAGCCAAAAAAAAGATGGTCAAAGCTTTTTTTTTTTTTTGGATAAATGATGGTCAAAGGTTATCCAATGCTTACATATACCACCAAATATTATCGATAAAGATTGCTATTTTTTTTATTATAAATGCAAATAAAGAATGTCGAACAAGTAGCAATAGCATGTACAATTGTGCTCCCTACGGGAAGATCACATAGAATATAGGATTTTCAGAACTCTGATCTCGTTCTTGCTCTTGTTCTTTTTCCAGCTGCAATCCAAATGGGCAAAGAAGCAAGCCAAATATTTCAAGATATGAATCTGAAGAAAATGAGTAGTAATGAAGCTTGGTGCAGTAAGAAGATGATCATGGAAGGAGGAAATAGTAAGGAAATATGTGACTCAATATCCATAGAATCCTCTTTTGAAGAAAATTCAGAAGACTCCGTCTCTTCAATATCTCCATCAGACTTGCTTGACGATCCATCATCTTCTGCAACATCATCATCATATTTTTCATCGAATAGGCCACTCTATGAATTATCCGAGGTCATGGCTCAATTACCTGTCAGGTAATCAAACATCCTTTCAATATGCTAAAATGCCAGAGAACATGAGTTGGGTAATGATTGATTTTGATTTTATGTGTAGGAGAGGACTTTCTAAACATTATCAAGGGAAGTCTCAATCTTTCACGTCTCTAGCAAGCGTGAGGAGCATAGAAGACCTTCCAAAGAAAGTTATTCCTATGTACAATAGAGCGAAAATGAAATCATGCAAGAGCTACGGGTGGGGACTAGATGGCCATAACAAGAAGAAGCCATATAGCCCAAAGGCTACGATATCAAAGAAGGCCGGTTCCCGGGGTTGGTTGTTGTCTTCCCTTGGTAATTAGAGAAGTAATACTACTCTAGTGATCATTGGTGAATGATTAGTAGTTATAGCTGGATTTTTGTATGTTGTATAAGCAGCTTTTAGATGTCATGAAGAAACCATCGATCAACTTTTGACCATTTTTTGAGGATCCGTCGACAAAGAAAAGGAAATATAAATATAAACATATATATATTTATGAATCGTGAATATATAATGGAAAATTCAATTTTGCAAGCATCTCTTAAGAATTATCAGGTCATATTCGTTTTTCTTTTTGGCCAAAAAAAAAAAAGAAAGAAAGTTCGAAGTACCGTTTAGAGCAGTTGTGATTTCCGCTGGCTTTGGTTAATGCGCATTTTCATTCACCTAGAAGCAGGATTTTTAAATATTTTGAGCTTTGAATGAATCAAATTCAGTCGCTGGAATGGAATTCATCTTCAGACTAGAATTTGAGAACAGCCATAGTTGGACAGAAAACATAAATTCAGAGTTGGCATGGATATATAGGAAATTAGTCAGATTTATCTACATATTATATAATATAATTTCACAAAGAATTGGCATGACAGACACAAGTAGTGTATCCAGTTGATACTCGGCATGGACAAGAAATCAGAATAATCCAACGTTTTCAAATTAAAAATAAAAAGAGATTTTTTCATTGGACAAATGAGAACAGCTGGATTAATAAAAAACACATTTTTGAAAAATGAGAACGCATAGGCATTAGGCAAACCTCGATCACATTTTTATAGTGTGAAAAGGATTTATAAAAACACTAAATCAACTTCTAAAAACATTTTTTTGCCTTTATTTCTTCTTTTCTTTTAGCTCAAAATCTTCGAAGGCCACTTCAATCGAGACAGTCGTGTGAATTGATTACAACTGTCAAAGGTCAAAGTACAGAGGATATATGAATTTATAAACCTTTTTTGTAAGATTACAAAATACTTTCTCAAGAGGATGTAAGATTACAAAATACTATCATATCTTATAAATAGGCGTGATTCCCAGCAGATTGAAGCACTTTCTCATAACCACGGCGGTTGCTTCACATAATAGTAGTCGACTCGTTTCCATATCCGACCCGACAACCTGGCCAATGTATTATCAATATACCACAAGTTACAAAGAAAGGCTAGCTACAGCTAAAAATCCACATGCATACGCATTTGTTCATGCTATCTAAGTTACATGCCACAACAGTATTTGGAAGAAGTGGCCCTGTGAATGATATTCTTAATTTTTTAAATAGGATGTGATGGTAGAACGGCTATATTCTGAGCTAGTTTGTTCTGCCATCTTGTGAGGCAGGTGATAATCAACTACCAACTTTATTTTACTGAGAAACTATAAATTAGATCGTGGATTATACCTTGCACTCGGGGTTGCTATAAAATTTTGAGAAGATTTCAGATAAATTATAGAGGTAGTCACACAAAACATTTGGTAACAAATTGGTACAGGCCTCTTCGACAACCTGACAATGAGATAAAAATGTGTCAAACCAAGCCTTGGTCTAGAAGCAAGGAATTGATTGGAACTTAGTTATTTACCTCAGGGAACTGCAGCAAATGAAGCCCCAAATCACGCTCATCCTTATGCCCCAATACTAGTGTCCCCTTCTGTTAAAAACAAAAAGTTACGAAAGGCATAAGTTGCAGACAATGAATCTGGCTAAAAGAGTACTGCTACTAGCCTTATAAGAGCACACATAAATAGAAAATAGTTACCCTCCACTTTTTAAGTGAAAGTTCAAAATTAAACACCTATATTCAGATACATTGAAAAATATATTCCACGCCATTCAAAGAGACAAAACTACAGAAAGCCTCAATTCTTTCTGCAAAAGAACCGGTTGTTTTCTTTTCATGTCAATAGAGCTTGGATGCACAATAACAAGTGCAAATGCAACTAAGGTTTCAAGAAGCTACAGCTTCAGGCTGAGAGGGAACTTACATTCTTCAGTTCCTCCACATCTTTTCCAGATCTCCTGATGATTGAACAGATTCGAGCATGAGCATACAGCAAATAAACAGCAGTGTTGCCCTGCCACAAAAATTTTAGAAGGCAAGAATCAGATGCTGAAGGTGATGATAGTAATAGCAACAATAATGACATTAGTAGGAACAATCAGCAAACAACACCATAAGAAACCTTCAGCAATAAAAATGTTCATCAGAAACAAAAATGACGAAACAAGTTATCTTCACAAAATCTGCAGTCTAAAAGCAAGAAAATTGTTGGGGCACCTTATCGTTAAGCATCTGGTCAAAATTAAATGTGTAATTGGTCAATCTGTTGTTCTTCAAGTCAGCATACCTGTAATCAGAATTCAAGAATATTTAAAGGATACCAACATGGAACAAGAACAAAAGAGATTGTCACAATAACAGTAAGAGAAATAAGGTTATATAATAAATAATAAATAGCTTACTTTACAGCACCATAACCAACTGCCTCAGCAGTACTCTCAATCTCATCCTCAGTCCATTCTTCACCCTTACCTGATCAATGCATAAGGTAGCCATTTCAGATATAAGTTTGAAAGGTTAAAAGACTACAATTTAACAGCAGCAAGAATGTGCACTAACATATACATTACATAGTTTTTCAAACATTTGTAATAACGGAGACAAGGTTCAACATTATACCACGTTCAATAAGTGCTGCTTTACTTCGACTCTTGGCTTCATCAAGTAGATCAACTAATCGAACTACTTCAGTGTTACGGGTTCGAAAACGCTTGCCATCTTCTCCAAGAACAAGGCCAAAACCAACATGGCTAGCTTTGAGATATGAACTATCACTATGTGGAAGCCACCCTGCACGTTTGGCAGCCTAAAAAATAAACCAAAATAGTGTCAGACCTATCGCTAAAGGTCAAAAGTTTGAACAGCACTTTAAGATCCTTAATTAGTGATATTCCACAAGCATCAATCTAGCTCTAAGTAAATAGAATACAAGAGAACTTTCACTCATTAATAAAGACTTTTACAATATTACTCATCAACAGAATCCAGGAAACAGCTTTGAGAACATACTTTGAACACCATATCAAAATGCTGCTGCTGGCCTACATCAGTAACATATATAATCCACTCAGCTTTCTCTTCATTGAGGCGATACCTAAGAATTGCAAGTAAAAAGATTGATGCAAAAGCTGATAAATTCATATCCCTACACTAACATGCTCCAGATCAACACAGTAAAACAGTAAAATTTTTTAAACACATGCCATAATCAGTAAAACAGTAAAATCCTCAAAGCAAATTGGTCTAACATTAACAGAGTACCCCATGAGATTAACATGGAAAAGAAAACGATAAGCAATAAATCATCTAAAGTTTACACACTCCAGAATTTTCAAAAACCAGCTGCCACTTTGTAATTTTAGCCACTCTTATTTCAGTCAATACTCTTGGCTGCACATAAATCTACATATTTCACATATTATGCAAGAAATGCAAAACAACAATAGAGGCTCATAACATTGTGTTGAAGGAAGAAAACTTACCAAAGAGCAGCCATATCAGTTGATGCATAGTTGAAACCACCATCACTCTTCACCACAATAAGAGGTATATTACTGCCTTCAATAAAGATCACACGAGCTCCCTGACTTTCCTCAACTAATCCTTGATTGGTCAAGGCCTCTATAACCCCAGGAATGTATGGATTATAAAAGCTCTCCCCCTGTCAATAAGGAAATTGTCAAACATATAAATTTGGAACATCATTTACACTATAAACAAAACTTGCTAGTTTACACAAATTTAATGAGGTTATAGAAATCTTGTATTCAGAAAAAAAAATATAATTCCTCCACTGTCACTATCTCAGTAGAAAGTCATCAAAATCATGTAATTGTGTATAATTGCATGTTTATGAAGATTTCAGGTGATTATATAGTTGTTAAAGGCAATAAACATGTATAATTACAGTTTGTACAAGATTGAAGACGATTATTAAAACAGGCCCAAAATATAAAGAAAGCTTAAAAGTAAATCATAAATAAAGAGATTCCAAATTATCCAAGAATGTCATAGTCATACAGAGAATTTCATATAAAGGTGCAACTGAAAAATTACCTAAGCTGGCCTAAGTATCACCAATACATAGAGCTTGTGGCACTGGACTTACTTTTTCCTCTAGATGAACTCCAAGCCGTTTATAGACCTTATGAAATTCAGTCCGGCTGATTTCACATATTTGTGCCCATGCCCTACGATACTTGTCTTCTCCACCCTGAAATGGGTTGAACAATAGAAAATGACGCAAAGAGAAATTAAGGTATTAATGAATCTAAGTGCATTCAGAGAAAAAAAAAACTACAAATACTTAAACAAGGTAAAATTTTACCTGAAGGCGCACTACTGCCTGTTGTGCTCTCTCCTTAAAAGCAGGATCAGCATCAAACCTCTGCTTTGATGATTTATAAAATGCCTAAGGAAGTCAATTCAAGTTAGAATTACAACATTCACTTGATTTCTGCTTAAGCTTCAAAGTCAAGGAATTTGAGAGTAGTTCGTCACCTGCAGATCTCCAATGGCTGTTTCAGTAGCATCTTCAAAGTTTGGAAACTTTTCAAAGAGGAACTCAATCAGCATGCCAAACTGCAAGACAAATAGGAAAGTTATAAAAAATTGTTACCGATGAGGAAATGCTGAAAAGATACATAAATGTCTGCTTTAAAAGTGGCAGGCTTCAAAAGGAGCAAGCCAAATCAAGAGTCAATGAATGAGACTACAATGAGATGTAAGACTACAGCCCATTTCAATCTTGGACAGAACCCAAGATCAGATACAAACTCTAAAATAGATGAATGCTTAAGCCCTTGTTGAGCACGAACAAGAATCCATGCCCTCTGTGCACAATTCAGAAACAACACCAACCTGTGTCCCCCAGTCACCAACATGGTTTCGCCGAAGAACTTCAACTTTTGAAAATTCAAGCATGCGGGCAAGCGTGTCACCAATAATTGTAGACCTCAAGTGACCAACGTGCATTTCTTTGGCAATATTTGGGGATGAAAAGTCAACAACTGCCTTTTTGACTGGCGGCATTGGTGCCCATGTATCTATACCTTCACTTAGCATCTTTTGAATGCTCTGTCAAACAATAAAGCAGCCAAGCAATCTTATAAGACTAATGCAATAACTACAACAAGCATAAAAGAAAGTGAAAAC